AGTAGAAAGGGAAATGGGGAAAAGGGGATGATATGAGCAGTATTTACCCTGAGATTTAAGACTTCAAAACTGGTTAAATGGCATGTCAGAGAGAGGTGAAGGGGGAAAGACTCCACAAGGATTCTGGGTCTTGACCTTGAACTCTTGGGTGGGTGCTAATGCCTTGACTGAACTAGGGAACAGGTTTGGGGAGTAAGGAAGTAAATTTAATCTATAATAATAAAAGCGTAATATGCTTATTAGACTAGACAGCCAAACAACCTTCCAGATGACCTTCCGGATGACCACGCTATGACACCCATTGGCGCCAGGCCAGCCAAGGTGGGTGTGATGCCTGGCCATCACCCCATGATCGCCCTGCAGAGGGAGGTCCAGGCCACCATTAGGTGGGATGATCGATCAATCAGGGGGCTCCACGATCACCCCAAGGAGGGAGGCTCAGGCTACTGGTGGCAGCACTGCGGTGAGTGGGCAGGGCCTACCTCTTTGGGGTGATCCATTGAGGAGCCCTGGCCCGGTGGGCAGGGCCTACCTGTTTGGGGCAATTGATCGAGGGGCTTCTAGACTGTGAGAGGGCACAGGCCAAGCTGAAGCACTCCTCCCCCACCCCCAGTGCACAAATTTTGTGCATTGGGCCTCTAGTTTCATATAAGTAGGAGAAAGTGGCATCTGGCTCTGTGATGTCATTTGCAAGAGTGAAAGTACTGCCTTTGCCAAAAGCATCTTCCCAAACTGCTTACCATAGTGCTTGAAATTCTATATTACTCATTTCTTTGGCTGGCTTTTTCTAGAATCCTATTTTTAAAATGCTCCTGAGATTATTGATAATTTTGTTATGTGTGATAATAGCATTGTGGTTATGTAGGGGAAAAACTCCTTAACTGTTAGAAATCCATGCTGAAGTATTTATGGGTGAAATGAAACACTGTTAAGTATTGCTTTAACATAATCCAGCAAAAAGAAAAGTGAACTGTGTATGTTGGGGGAATAGATAAAAATATTTAAAATTGTAAAAGCGCAGGGATGAATACATAGGGTTCATTATACCATTCCATCTACTTTTCTGTGTAGTTGAAATTTTCCATAATAAAAGATAGAAGAGCCCTGATACTTTAAAAATGCTCCAGAGAGGATATCATATTCAACTATCTTTAACACTTGTGAAATACAACCACAAAAATGTGTTTTAAAACTTTGGTTGGGATTTATATTTTTAGACTATTTACAAGAAAAGGAAGGCTAGTCCTTTTAAGAAATAGACTTGTTAGGAACTGGATATTAAAAGAGAAGGAACTAGGATTCAGATGTAGAATATTATACATTTCATCAACTGTTTAATCCTTACCACCATTCTCTAGAGAAGAAGGCATCTAATGACTTTTGATCATGCTCCACCAGGATGGTCCTATCCTCCACTAGGTACTATGTATGCATGATCTCATTGTATCTACAAAACTCTGTCTAGGGATCCATTTCACAGATGAGGAAACTGAGGCCGAGAATTGTCAGGCCTTCTGCCTAAAGACCACAGGTTGGTAAACAGGGGCTTGGGAGAGGAGACTGGGTCTGGAGCTCCATGTGACTGGCTCCAAAGTCCGCTGTGTTGCAGTCTTCAGACTTGCTCACCTCCATGGTTGGCCCTAGATCAGCCTGCCATTCAGAGAAGAGGTTATTCACAAATGGGCTCCCACTGAACTGATTTTTTGGGGAATTGACAACTTAAACCAAGAGAAATTAAGAGTATGCCCTCTTGCCCTCAGCGGTTTGGGCTCAGTGAATAGAGCATCAGCTTGTGGACTGAAGGGTCTCTGGTTCCATTCTAGTCACAGGCTCAGTCCCCAGTAGGGGTCATGCAAGAGGCAGCCAACTAATGATTCTCTCTCATCATTGATGTTTCGATCTCTCTCTCCCCTCTCCCTTCCTCTCTGAAATCAATAAAAATACATTTTTTTAAAAAAAGAGTATGCCCTCTTGGGCAGGGATGATAGGGTGATAAGAGTCCATAGAACAAGTGAGGAGTGTCAAGGAAGCACAGAGCCTGTTTACCCAGACCTCATGGGATCAACAACGGGTGCTAAAAGCTGGAGAGCAGCACCTGGAAGAGTCAACAGGGGTAAGAAGCAAAGAAAAAATTGAACTATAGAAAAGCAAATAACTCCATGAGTAAATGTAAAATGTTTATAAAAGCTGTGATTATTTAAGTTCTTATAAATATTTTAAAGCCAGCCTGAAGGTCAAGTAAAGAAGATAGTTAAGCAAATTATAACTTATAATTATTTCCTCTTGCTGGAATATTATGAATCCACTGGAGGCCTGGGGCACAAAATATGTGCATTCAGGGGAGAAGGGTGAGGTCCCTCAGCTCGGCCAGCACCCTCTTGCAGTCTGGGAGCCCTTGGGGGATGTCTGACTGACAGCAGGGAGCAGGCCTAAGCCATCAGTTGGACATCCTTATCCCTGCAGCGGAGGAGGGAGAGGTTCCTGCCACCGCCGCTGTGCTCACCAGCATGTGCCATGCTTCTGGCTGAGTGGCACTCCTTCGTGGGAGCTCACTGACCACCAGGGGCAGCTCCTGAGTTGAGTGTCTAGCCCCTGGTGGTCAGTGTGCGTCATAGTGACCAGTCGTTCTGCCATTTGGTTGATTTGCATATTGCCCTTTTATTATATAGGATAATATTATGGTATTATCATCTATATATATAAAGAGCCAAGGTTCACTATGACCAAGGCTCGACCAAACACTGGAAGTCAGTGCTGGATTACCAGGTGACCCAGCACTGACTGCAGCCAGCACTGACTGCCGAGGGGGCTGTGGATCAGGCCCAGAGAGAGGCCTGCAGAGAGAGAGGCAGGGTTTGATCCCCAGCCTCCATGGCAGCTATTGATCAGCTGTTGCCTCTCTCTTTCTCTCCCGGTGTCAGCAGCAGCCGGGCCTCTGTTTCTCTCCAGGCCGCTGCAGGGGCTGCTGATCAGCCCTGCCTCTTTGATCAGGCCCAGAGATAGGCCCGAAGATGCTGACTGGCATAGAAACCAACCAATCAGAACCAAATCTGGGTGAAGTGCGAGTTGCCAATGGCTGCATAGGAGGCAGAGCTTTTGACACTGACTGGCATAGAAACTGACCAATCAGAACCTAATCTGAGTGAACTGTGAAGGCAGAACCTAAGGTGGGAGCTGAGGAGGGGTTTTAAGGCAACAGCTGTTTGGTGTAAGGTGTAAGAAAGTGGTTCAATTTTTTTCATGACTGGTTTGGTAGTATAGTGCATATGGCTGGCTATCAGTCCAGATATAGGGATTATGTATTTTTGTCTGCCAAGAGCATCTCCTCCTGCTGAAAAAAGCTCCCCCCCCCCCCATTTAAGCAATCCTATCCTATATAATCTAGCTATACTACTAAAGGGTAATATGCTAATTAGACCGGGTTGACCGGCCATCTTCCGGATGTCCAACTTCCTTCCAGACAAAGCCAAGTGGTGGGGGGCTGAGGCAGAGGCAGTTAGGGGCGATCAGGTTGGCAGGGGAGGGTAGTTGGGGGCAACCAGGCCAGCAGGGGAGGGCACTTGGGGGTGATCAGGCAGGCAGAGGCAGTTGGGAGGTGAGATCAGGCTGTCAGGGGAGGGAAGTTGGGGGCGAGATCAGGCTGGCAGGGGAGGGCAGTTAGGGGTGATCAGGCAGGCAGATGAGTGGTTAGAAGTCAGCAGTCCCAGCTTGCAAGAGGGATGTCTGACCACAGGGATCAGGCCTAAACCGGTGGTTGGACATCCCCCAAGGGGTCCCCGATTAGAGAGGGTACAGGCTATGCTAAGGGAACCCCCCCACCCCCCATGCACGAATGTCATGCACCAGGCCACTAGTCTATAATAAACACTATAGAAAATGCGTATTTAAAAACTTAAGTGAAAAAGTAGAGTATGGTATATGTATAAGATCCTCTACATGGAAAAAATGATTGGAAGGGAAAAAAACTGTCAAAAATCACGGGATTGTCTTTAGTTTGTAGAAATATAGATTTTTTTTAATATTTAAAATTTTCATTCCATTCTTTATTTTCCTATAAAAAATGTTAAAAAATAAACCAAAGAACTTCCTCTTACTGTTTATCTTTGTTTAATCCAGGGTAAAGAAGTTTAAGGTATTTATGGTTTCACACTGAGGAGATAAAATAATTTGGTAGAAAATCTGAGAAAGCAATGGTAAGTTATATCTTAGCTGCCCTCAGTGAGCCTTAGATACATGAAGCAAACCTCATCACTGGGCCTCCACCCCCTTCACTAATCAGATGACTATGAAACATTGAGAGACCTGTTCACCTGAAGATCACACTAGTGAGAACAGAACATAGACCACTAGCAATAGGTATCTCTATATACCTCAGCAGGTTCCATTCATATGCCAACATTTTTAGTTAGCCACCTCCTTGGCAACCTTAACAAGTCACAAAAGTTAGACTGTAACTCTTTCAGGGGCCCTGATAGTTTTTCAGGGACCAGACTGGTGCTGCATTGTAGAAAGCCAGAGTCAAACTATAGGCAGCAATAATGGCACTAGGTATTAGACCAGTGGAGTCAGACCAGCAATTTCAGTTCTTGAGTTCTGGCTAAGAAAGAATTCAGAGTCAAGACTCAAACTATAAGAGAAAGTTTATTTAGAAAGTCAGTGAGGCAGAAGAAGTGAGCTGTAGAAGAACTGGGCTTAGGAAACAAGTTACAGTGGCAAAAAACAAAAACAAACAAACAAAAAAATGGGGCTCTTGGAGCTTAGGAGAGAGAAGGGCAAAGGTAATGCATTTGGAGGGAAGGTGTGTTTCTGGGAAGGAGAGTGCCCTGGGTCCTCCATCCTAAGGGTTTATAAGGATGGAGATTTTATGGGAGGTCTGGGGGAGGGAGGAATCTCAGTAGAATATTCATCAGCTTTCCAGGTGTGTCCTTTCAGGGTGGTGGTTTCCACTGGTTGGTCAGCACCAGGGCAGGCGGTCATTAGTCAATGCAGCTAGTTCTGATGTCAGCCATGGCATCGCTTGTCTGGTTTTGCTGCTTTTCTGGGCCTGGAGCTGAAGCACAACTGAGATGTATTTGAAGCAGCTCGGAACCTCATTGTCCTGGGGGCTTCATGTGTAAGGGCTATTCTCTGGCCCCCTTGTTCATTTCCCCTCTAGGCAGTTTAACCCAAATGACTAGCAACACGCCAAGGGAGGAAAGGGCCCAAACCCCATGACCATCAATATGAAAGGTCAGGGCGTCTAAATAGCATGACCAGTAATATGCCAGGGGAGGAAAGGTTACCTTGGTGGTGAGGTCTTTGTTTTCTGTGTTTTGCTCATTGCTAGGAACCTGGGGCTTTCAAACCTGGTGACCTTCTGTACCCGGCCTATCATCCTTGCTCTGCTCATGTGTTTTTTAACGGCCGACCACAAAACTGGGTAAAAATGTCAAATGTATCTTTTACCTAGATAGAGACTTACTCTTCCAAGATTATTGAAGCAAATATACTACATCCACCTACAATATCTACAGAGTTCCTTCATAAGGGAGAGTGGTTTCTGCTGACTAACTCTGAAATTGAAGTATTAGAAATCTATCACCCAGAAACATGACATTAGATAGCTTTCTTGAAAAGGCTTTTACCAAAACCTAATAAAAGAAATACATAGTCATGGCCAGCATGGCTCAGTGGTTGGAGCATCAGCCCATTCACAGAAGGGTCACAGGTGCGATTCCCAGTCAGGGGCGTGTGTGGAAGGCAGCCAGTCGATGTGTCTCTCTCCCATTGATTTCTCTCTCTCTCTCTCTCTTTCTCCTCTTTCTCCCCACCTCCCTCCCACTCTTTCTGAAAATCAGTGGAAAGAATGTCCTCTGGGGAGGCTTAACAACAACAAAAGAAATACAAAAAGTTTCCTTACCGGTCAGCCAGCACTGGAGCCTGTGGTGCACAGGGTCCGGAGCAAGACCCGTCAGGGGATATGCAGAGTAAGAAACAGGATTGCTCTTAAGGGAGAGAGAAAAAAACAACTATAACATTGACTGGAAAGTAGAAGAAGAGAAAGTAGTTGGCATATTTAGGGAAGCGAAAAATCACCTCTACTTAAGGGTTTTATGGAAAGGTTTCCAGACGATGGGGCATTTGAAGTGGACCTTGATGAACAAAAGATTTCAATCGGCCACAACAGCAGGGAGAGCTTAGGATGGCACTGACGGAGGGAAGAATATCATCCAACAAAAGAAAAAATGAAAAGAAGGACAACAGGTTCTGTTCCAAATTTTTAAAAGTACAAGTGGCCCTATGAACCAAGTACCCTGGGCATCGTGGCATGGCGTATGGCTGCGATTTGTTTTGTTGATTATAGACTTGGGAGCAGGTGGAGGAAGAGGCAGATCGGCTGGAGATGTTCCCAGAGCAGACTTGGCAAGAGGGCAAAAGGGGGAGACGAGAGCCCCTGCTGTTGCAGAGACAGGACTAGGAGGAGAGGCAGAGATGTTGAAAGGGCACTGTCAGGGCATTTTGCTTTGTGATGTAGCCCATTCTCTGTCACCACACAAAATCTTCCGTGACAAAGCTACATCACTGGACAATGGTTTTGGACTTGAATTTTTAATTTGGGAGGTAGGGGAAGGAAGGGGGAGGGTTGATGAGTGTGGAGTATGCCTGGAAGTGAGCATGGGATGAAAGCAGAGGCTGCAAGAGGGGTGTAGTCATATTTGTTTACTATACTCACTTCGAAGTCAAGAAAGGCAACTGGTCATTTATTCATTCGCCCCTGCTGTGATGTGCCAGGCACTGTGCTGGCTGGCGCTGGGATGCTGGGTGAGCCAAACCTAATGGGTTCCTGGTCCTCAGAGTCTACATTCTAGTGTGTGTGTGGGAAGGGATGGGGAGAGGATGGCAGGGATTAACTAAATAATAAAAAATGTAAAATTAGCATTGTGGTTAGTGTTCTGAAGGAGAGGTCTACAGTGCTATGATAGCTCATAAAGGCATGTGACCTTGTTGGTAAGTGAAGGGCCTGTAGAAATGAGTGAGTTCTGAAGGATGAATAGGATTATAGCGTGTAATGTTTAAGGCAGAGTGGAGAGTAAATGCAAATGCTCTGTGGAAGGAAGGAACGGAAAAGAGGCCAGCATGGCTGGAGCAGGCAGTGATGGGGAGCAAGGAGCCAAGAGGAGCTGAAGAGGCAGGGAGCAGACCTCACTGGGGTCTTGAAGTCATGTACGGGTTTAATTAGGGATGCTAGGAAAATGTATATTTTAAAAGGTCACTCTGGTTGCTGTATGGAAAAGAAGTGGGAGTATAGCAAGTGTGAATGTATGTAAGAAAACCAACTAGGAGGCTTTTGCTCTCCCCAAGTAAAAGATGATGATAAGGTAGTGCTTTATCCCTGCCCTCTCCCCTCCCCCTTCACCCTCTGCCAAAGCCATGACATAGCCTCAGCTAAGAGGATTAATTTTGTTAAATTGACAATTTGCAAAAAAATATCACCTTACACTTTGTAGGAAATTTATTTTTCCTTTCAAGTATAAATATATGCTTATGTAAGTGACTTTACTAATAAGAACAGATCTATGCTAGGACTAAGACAAAAAACTGTCTTTGAAGAAGAGGAATGCAAAATGTAATATTCATAAGCTTTTGGAAATGTCTACATGACAGATGTGTTTCTAAGTGTACTGTGTATTTTAAGCAGAAATCTCCTCTCCTCTCTCTCTCTCTCTCTCTCTCTCCCTTTCTCTCTTTTTCTTGCTTGGTTTGTATACAGCACACTAAATGGATGGAGTGAACCAGCCATTATGTATGAGTTGCTTTGTCTTTATGGTAAAAACAATTCACAGATGCCTGGGCATTAACATGTTTCCATATCAATTCAATTTATCCTGTGTATTCGAATCTTGTGCAATAAATTAACACCCACAAAGGCACAGGAAATTATAATATACTATTATATTGGAAATAGATCAAGTAGACAAAGATGAATAAAGATATAAGATATCCAAACTACTGAATGACTACAGGATATACATTCTTTTTAAGCTCAGATGGAGCTATTATAAAAATGACTATATATGAGGAACCAAGATGGCGGAATAGGTTAACGCAGGAGTTTGCTGCCTTGAACAACTACTACAAAAGTGAAACTAAAAAACGGAACGGACATCACCCAGAACCACAGGAACGCTGGCTGAGTGGAAGTCCTACAACTAGGAGGAAAGAGAAACGCATATGGACACTCAGAGGAGGCGCAGTGCTGAAGTCAAATTCTGAGGTGCGGAGTGCGCGGAGCGGGCTGGCGGCGGAGGGCGCGGTTGGCGTTTTCAATCGGGAGGGAGTCGCAGACTCTGAGCTCCAGATACAGGCGAGTCTTTAGGGACCCAGACTCAAATGGGAGAAGCGGGACTGTCTGGCTTTGGTCAGAGCGAGTGCAGCTTTCTCTCTGAGCTTTGCAGCGGGTGCTGGGACTCAGAGAGGCAGAGCCCCTGGGGACAGGACTGAAAGCCGCCATAACTGCTCTCTCTGGCCCACCCTGTTGATCCTGTGCTACCCGCCCCGCCCAAGCCCTGCACAGAGGCATTTTGCCAGATAGCCTCAGGCAAAGGCTAGATTAGCACCTCCCTAGAGGACAGAAGTTCTCTCACTGCTGACACAGCTGATTCTCATAGCCACTTGGCCTGGAGGTCAAACCCTCCCTGGAATTAGCTACAACAATCAAGGTTTAACTATAAGACTGCGCACAAAGACCACTAGGGGGTGCACCAAGGAAGCATAACAAAATGCGGAGACAAAGAAACAGGACAAAATTGTCAATGGAAGATATAGAGTTCAGAACCACACTTTTAAGGTCTCTCAAGAACTGTTTAGAAGCCGCCAATAAACTTAATGAGATCTACAAGAAAACTAATGAGACCCTCGATGTTATATTGGGGAACCAACTAGAAATTAAGCATACACGGACTGAAATAATGAATATTATACAGACTCCCGACAGCAGACCAGAGGAGCGCAAGAATCAAGTCAATGATTTGAAATGCGAGGAAGCAAAAAACACCCAACCGGAAAAGCAAAATGAAAAAAGAATCCAAAAATGCGAGGATAGTGTAAGGAGCCTCTGGGACAGCTTCAAGCGTACCAACATCAGAATTATAGGGGTGCCAGAAGATGAGAGAGACCAAGATATTGAAAACCTATTTGAAGAAATAATGACAGAAAACTTCCCCCACCTGGTGAAAGAAATGGACTTACAGGTCCAAGAAGCGCGGAGAACCCAAAACAAAAGGAATCCAAAGAGGACCACACCAAGACACATCATAATTAAAATGCCAAGAGCAAAAGATAAAGAGAGAATCTTAAAAACAGCAAGAGAAAGAAACTCAGTTACCTACAAGGGAATACCCATACGACTGTCAGCTGATTTCTCAACAGAAACGTTGCAGGCCAGAAGGGAGTGGCAAGAAATATTCAAAGTGATGAATACCAAAAACCTACAACCAAGATTACTTTATCGAGCAAAGCTATCATTCAGAATTGAAGGTCAGATAAAGAGCTTCACAGATAAGGAAAAGCTAAAGGAGTTCATCACCACCAAACCAGGATTATATGAAATGCTGAAAGGTATCCTTTAAGAAGAGGAAGAGGAAGAAAAAGGTAAAGATACAAATTATGAACAACAAATATGCATCTATCAACAAGTGAATCTAAGAATCAAGTGAATAAATAATCTGATGAACAGAATGAACTGGTGATTATAATAGAATCAGGGACATAGAAAGGGAATGGACTGACTATTCCTGGGGGGGAAAGGGGTGTGGGAGATGTGGGAAGAGACTGGACAAAAATCGTGCACCTATGGATGAGGACAGTGGGTGGGGAGTGAGGGCGGAGGGTGGGGCGGGAACTGGGAGGAGGGGAGGTATGGGGGGGAAAAAAGAGGAACAAATGTAATAATCTGAACAATAAAGATTTAATTAAAAAAAAACAAAGATAAAACTAATGAAATAAAGACTCAAATAACAAAAAAAAAATGACTATATATGAGTTCAAGGGTGTGTTCACTTTGTAAAAACTCATTGAACAGCACATGTATGATTTGTGCATTTTTCTCTTTTTTAAAATATGTTTCCATTGATTTTTTTTTTTTAGAGAGAGGGAAAGAGAGAGGATAGAGAGATAGAAACATTGATGAGAGAGAAACATCAACCGGCTGCCTCCTGCACACTCCCCACTGAAGATCAAGCCCACAACCCAGGCATGTGCCCTGACCAGGAATCAAACCTGCGACCTCTTGGTTCATGGGTCGACCCAGCTGTGCTGTGCATTTTTCTATACTTATGTTAATTTTTTAAAAAAGTTTGTTAAAACCCAGCCAGCATGGCTCAGTGGTTGAGCATTAACCTATGAACCAGGAGGTCATGGTTCGATTCCCTGTCAGGGCACATCCTCAGTGTGGGGTTTGCAGGAGGTAGCTGATTAATGATTCTCTCTCATCATTGATGTTTCTATCTCTCTCTCCCTCTCCCTTCCTCTCTGAAATCAATAAAAACATATTTAAAAAAAATAAAAAATGTTCTAAAGAAAAGTTTGTTAAAAACAAAAAACTGACCACAATGAAGCCCCAAAGAGAGTCTCTGGGAATTTCAAAGGACTAATATTATACAAAGTTCTCTGACAATAGTGCAATTAAATTAGATATTTACAATAAAAAGACAGATAAAACAAAATCTCTTGGAAAGTGAAAAATGCATTTCTAAACTTGTAAGTCAAGGAAAAAACAATGAAAATTATGAAATACTAAGGACTACATGACAATGATCCTATCTAATAAAAGAGAAACATGGTAATTAGCTGTATGTCCGCTACCCTTCCCATTGGCTAATCAGGGCGATATGCAAATTAACTGCCAACTAAGATGGCGGTTAACATCCAACAAAGATGGCAGTTAATTTGCATATGTAGGCACAATGCTGGGAGGCAAAAGGGAAAGGACGGAAGAAGCCCCCTG